GCAGCTGCAGTCCGAGTCGCGCCCAGCTGCTGACCGGACAGGCGAGTCACGCCAGTGGCATGTATGGACTCCACCAGGGCGTGCACAACTTCAATGTGCTGCCCGAGGTGAGCTCGCTGCCCAATGTGCTGCGCGAGCAGAGCCAAGGACGCATACTGAGCGGCATCATAGGCAAGAAGCATGTGGGGGCCGCCTCGAACTTCCGCTTCGACTTCGAGCAGACGGAGGAGCAGCACTCCATAAACCAAATAGGTCGCAACATTACCAAAATCAAGGAGTACGCACGCGAGTTTCTGGCGCGAGCCAAGCGTGAGGCGAGACCTTTCTTCTTGCTGGTGGGCTTCCATGACCCGCACCGCTGTGGCCACATTACGCCGCAGTACGGCGAGTTTTGCGAGCGCTGGGGCAGCGGCGAGGAGGGCATGGGCACGATACCCGACTGGAAGCCCATCTACTATGACTGGCGCAACTTGGAAGTGCCTGCGTGGCTGCCGGACACGGATGTGGTCAGACAGGAGCTGGCCGCCCAATACATGACCATCTCGCGACTGGATCAGGGCGTCGGCTTGGTGTTGCGGGAATTGCAGGCATCCGGACTGGCGGAAGATACCCTCATCATATACACCTCGGACAATGGTCCACCCTTTCCCGGTGGCCGTACCAATCTCTATGAGCGTGGTATTCGATCTCCGCTGATTCTCAGCTCCCCCCGACCCGACGCACGTCGTCACGAGACGAGCGCTGCTATGGCCAGTCTACTCGACATTTATCCCAGTGTCCTGGATGCTCTCCAGCTGTCGCCGCCTAACGGAACGCGCTTCAGCGGCCAATCGCTCTTGCCTGTGCTCCATAAGGAGCCCGAGCCTGTGGAGAGTGACGCAGTCTTCGGTAGCCAGAGCTACCACGAGGTGACCATGGCCTATCCCATGCGCATGGTGCGCAACCGGCGCTATAAGCTCATACACAATCTCAACTATTGGGCGGACTTTCCCATCGATCAGGACTTCTATACATCGCCCACGTTCCAGCAGATCCTCAATGCCACCATCAACAAGCAGCCATCGCCCTGGTACCGCACCTTGCAGCAGTATTACCAGCGACCCGAGTGGGAGCTCTACGACATCAAGGCGGATGCTTTGGAGCGTTTTAATCTGGTGGACAAGCCCAAGTATAGCGCCACCCTGAAACAGCTGCGCCAGAAGCTCCTCAAGTGGCAAGTGGACACAGAGGATCCGTGGCGCTGTGCCCCTCACGCCGTGCTGCAGGCTCAGGGAGTTTTCAAGAAGGAGCCCGTCTGTCTGACACTGGGCCATGAGGCGCTACAAAGGCCCAAACGTCGAAAGCTCACCCAATACGAACAGTATATTGTAGTGTAACTAGATTCCTTATAGAGTATTGCACGAACAATTATTTCCTTTTTATGCTAAGCACATTTTGAGTTTTGTATTTGGCGTTATCACAATTAAAATAAAATGCAATCTAATTTGCTGATAAGACATGCTATATCAAACTCTTCAGCACTTATTAGTCATTTTGGGCTACACCAACTGTCAAATTGATAAGCTTAGAAATATCGCAAGCTAATTGCCCCGACATTTGTATAAAGTGTAATTTTTATTGATCATATAAAAAATGCTGAAAATAATAATAATTTAGTCTGATTTCCTGTAATCAAAGGGGCTACAAATAAATATGAATTATTATACTTTTCTATTACTCATCTGTTGAGATATACTTTAGTAAGATACCAAATAGATGTCAATAAAGTATTAAAACACACAATATATACATATTTTGTATACCCTGAACCCATTGCAAATGGGAAATCAGGGTTAAATTTCATATGCAGGTAACATGAGAGAACTGTGGCAGATCTTATAAGGAATACAGGTATAGTCTTGTCCTGTCTGCCAGTCAGTCCTTCCGTCTGTATGCATGAACTCGTCGATCTCAGAAGATATATGAGCTAGTTATTAGAGCTTTCTCGATCTGTGCCTTCCATAACATTTTCTGTAAAATGCCTTACAATTTATAATGGGGGAATGACATAGTTGATCATATTGAGTGTACCGTGAACAGTGCAGAGTATGTTGTTGATGGAGACATGCATATATTTGAATACATATGAAAGGTTCAGAAAACTAATCCATATGACACGATATCAGACAAATCTTCTGTAAACTGTTACAAAGATATGCTCATGCTTTAATAAATAATAATAGATAATAAAATAAATAATACGCCAGTTTTTAATTATCCCACTTCGATAGTTAAGATCAGCTTTATAGAGCTGAAAGCTAGCACAAAATTTTATAAACAGTGTTTTAATTTTTAATACATGTATATTTGAATTAGTTAATATTTATTTAGTACTAAAAATTAATTAGTTTTCATTTTTTTGTATTGGAATTTAGTTGTGTTTGAATGTTAATGACTTAAAGTTGATAAAAGACTTAAGCATTAAAAAAAATTATATATATGTTCATATATATTTATATATGAAAATTACACAACAAATTCTAACTTTACTAAATCCTAAAAATATGCAAAATCTAAAATATATATTATATCTTATTTTACTAGTTAATAAACACATTCTAAAATAACAGATTTAGAAGTTTTAAATTTTAAAATTATTTTTAGTTGCTTGCCGCTTGCTTCCGAAATATATTACTATAAATTCAAGAATGCTGGGAATTGAAAAAAAAAAAAAAAAAAACAAAGAAAAACGTGATTTGTGGTGCAAAGGTAGCAAAATTTATGAATAATTCAATTTCCGTATCTATTTCAGAGCCGAGTGGGACAAATCAGTTTATATTTGGGTAGTCAACGTCAACGGAGCAGACGCAACCCCATTCAAGATGAGCTTGCTCACACAGAGGTATTCGTTGGCAGGGGTGGAATCGTGACCTCAATGGATGATGATATGCGCAGGGGGTGTTGCGTCACGTTTCAATGTCATTCCAACTGGGTCGTCTTACTCTTTGGGTTGGGTTGGGTTCGGATTTGGATACGTCATCTGTGCCACTACGTTCTGTGTGGAAAAATCGAACATTTCAATACGCTTTTCGTTTCTGCTCTGCTTTCGCTGTGGCGCCGTCGACGGTCTGTCGGGTCTCATTCCTGTGCAGCATCCGAGTCAATGTTACGCAACATTCATAATAAGTCCTCGGGGCTGGGCCAAGGCTAAGCCGGATGACAATGGGGCGGAACGGTAAGGTTGCATTGCTCGGTTTAAGGTCAACGTGCAAATAAGAAAACACAAATTCGGTTTTTCTTTTCTTTTTTTTTGTTTTTGTTTTTTGATTTTGAACGAAAGACACATTGAAAATTAAATGTATTCAATTATTGTTTTTGTTTTAGATTTTTGTTTTAAGTTTTTGCTTGTTATGCATAAATTAGGTTCTCAGTTTTTAGCGTTATTCTTATATAGTTTGTTTGTTGTATTCTTTGTATGTATGTTATGTATATGTATATATATATTATTTTTTATATCCTTTTCCACCACACAAATGCATAATTACAATTATTATTGTTTTATTCTTGCCGCCCAACAATGCGTCAAATAAAATAATTAAAAATAAAAACATTCGCGTTTGCCTCGGCCGGTCGAGCCAAAATCTCTAAATGGGGCTGCCGCCTGGAAATGTTTGGCAAATGTCGCAAGTTTTATATTTGCGTTCGTAAATTAAATTTTCTTTGTTCGCTCATTAACTAATTTATTATCAGTAAATTTATAATTGTGTATACGGCTGCTTATATACATTCGTGTTTGCATGTATGTATATCGCTTGGTATGCACCATTCTATGTATTCTATATATGCCATTCATATGGGGCTTGACTCGTCTGCTTTCGGATACAGATACAGATACATTTACGGATAGAGATACATATTCTTCTAGAAATTTATTGTTAGTAAACTCATTTTGCTTCTTGGTTAGTAATTGTATTCTTTTTGCTATGCTTCGACTTGACTTGACTGGTTTTTGAGTTGTCGCTTATGTTAACAGTTATTATCAACGCGTTAATAGTAATAATTATGTTCAAATTTTAACTAGTTATATGCTGGTTTTGCTTAGGAGGATTCCGTTACGTTGTTCATTATTCATTATTCATTACATTGTTGTTGTTATTATCAATATAATATTTGTTGTATTAACGCTGCTGTTCAGTATAAGTTATAATAAATACATAATAATAAATATACATGTAGATAATATGCTTAATAAATATATCTATATTTATATATATATATTTTTGTTTTGTTTTCTTTTATGTAATAGTTATGTATATAAATAACAAAAAACAACACACATAAAAAGGAGCAAAAATGTAGGATCTCAACTTCTGTTATCGTATTACATCCTTGAATTTGACAAAAATTCTTTAAATTTTACAACGAACATGCGGACAGCTAATATGCCGTCCTAGGGGATAGAGTGTGGGGAGTATTGTATTTGCACAAATATCAGTTAGGAGTATACAATAAATATATATAGGTATATAATAGGTATATATATATATATGCAAATATATATATATATAATTTTTTAGGTAGGTAGCTTTAGGTATACTATATAGAATTTGGATAGAGAGCGCAATGGGAAGTACAAATTAGAAATTACAACAATCAGAAGAGTGATAAAGCAAAAGACTCGCAACATAGCTATGTAAGTATGTAGTATGGATATCTAGCTAATTAATATGTTGGATTGACATGTTTCCCTTCGATATAGATATATATATATATATTTCATACATATATATATATATTGCTTATTGTGTTTCTGCTGTTCATATAGCAATAAGAAGTGTGATTCAAAGGAGAGCAATTCTTAAATTGGAAACGCATGGAAAGTTCGTATTAATTTCGTAACATTTGAAAATGTAGTTTGTAGTACATACATAATTACATACTTTAATTTAATTGTAATTTATAATTTGTAGTTATTGTTTTGCCAACTGGTAAAATTTCGCATTTAATTTAGTTTGCTATAGGTATTCTTTTTTTTTCGTGTTTTTATTTTTTGTTTCGCCGTTGCGCCGTTTCATAGATGTTTATATGGCCACGTGAATGTGCTGTGCTAGCTAAGCCGTAATCGTAACTCTAAACCATATTAATCCGCATATAACCATCTACAATTGTATGCATCTTTTTGCATTTATACTATGTGCCAAGCTGCGAAACCAACATTCAGTTTATTATTGTGATCAATATGCAGGCAATCTAATTGGGCAGGGGGACCTGCACCTGCACGTATGACTGGGGGAAGTAGCCGGTTCGGCCATTGACGGCACCTTCGTACCAATTGTCGTCGACGCGATTGAGGAGCGTTATGATGTCGTTCTCCTTGAAGCCCAGTTCGCCTGGGTTCTCGGGATCGAAGTCGTAGAGGGCCTGGCAGCAGGGCTGCTGCTGGCGATGCGGTGTCGCGGCCATTGACTTGGCGGGCGAGCGCATCGGCGAGGGCAACGGCGAGGCGCTCGAGCTAATGTGGGACGGCGTGCCGTCATCATTGAGGCCGCCGCCACCGCCGTCCAAGTTCAGATCGAGCAGCGTCTTGGGCACAAATTCATTGCGTGGCCGGCTCTCAGCCTCGGCACGTTTCTCCTGTAGCGTCTCCTGCAGGCCACGCAGTACATCGGCGCACTGAGAGTGAAAATCGTAAAGTGCTTCAGCGAAGGTCACGAGTTGTGAGACATGTTCAGTATCGTTCTCCAATAAATTGAACATGCTTACTTGCGCCAACTGCAATGACTCGGCGAACTTCTCCTCAGCACCACGAATTTCATCATCTTTGGCCTGTCGGCGACGTTTACAGTCAAAGTCGAGACGCCGGCCCTGCAGCTTCTTTCGATGGTGCATGACCTCCTTAAGGTCTTTGGTCTGCATATGATGCAGGGGCTCCAAAAAGTTCTGCTTGATGTTGTCGTCCAGCGAATACTTGACGTCGGCCATTTGTTTCAGCGCTTCGCCGAATTCGACGAGCGCCTGCGCGAACACGCTGTTGTCCTCGCCGAGCTTCTTACCATAAGTCAACATGCATTCAGCCAACAGACCTTCAGGCTGGGGATACGTATTAGACTTAGCCTGTCCCGACAGCTTCGAGATGCCTTTCACGGCGGCCATTTTGGCACGTGCCGTTGGATTTGGCTGCAGAAATTCCTTGGTCTTCAGCTGCAGCTCCTCCACAAGCTCCACGGTCACGTCCGTCTTACGCTCCATATCCATAAAGTCCATATCCAGCTTGGTGCCCTCCGCACCGCCCATTTTCTCCGTCATATACTGGTTGGCTTTGTTGATCTGTTTCTTCAGTCCAGCGAACGCCATCGTGTTGCTGTTGTTTCTTCTGCTGTTGTTGTTGTTGTTGCTGTTGGGGCTCTCTGTGGCTCGATGTCAACGACGCGGTTGCTGTGAACGGGTTTGCGTTAGTTGACTTGCCTGTTAATGCTTCAATTTATTTAATAACCAAAAAACTATCAGTAAATGATAAAAAAAAAAACCAACTGAATTTGATTTCTCTGCCCAACTACGATGCGTATCTATTTTTAACGTTTGGACGACTTACGCGGCGTGCACTCTTTTTTTTATTGTTGGGGGTGGAAACGCTCGATTCTCGGTGCTAGGTGCTACGGGGGCTGACGTTGACTGAGGCTGTTACTGGCTGGAAGAAATTGTTGAAAACGCCAGTCGCATAGATTTATGTTATAATTTCGCACTTTCACTCGTTTTGTTTGCGCTGCACGTTCTGTGCTATCTTCACACTTCTTTTTCTTTTACTCTCTGCTGGGCAAACCTTGGAGTATAGCCCGACGATTGGCTGCGTAATGTTTGAAGGACTGTCGTTACTACTACTAATCTCCCACTGGCTTGGGGCTGGTGTGTTGGACGCGGGGGTCGTTTTTCCTCGTCTAACTAAATCGATTTTTTGCTGTGTACAAAAATTTTAGTGATGCCATAAACATCGATACCGATACTTTTTATTAGCTGCGCACTCTGCGTTAACATAATACACTTATGCTATTTAACATAGCCATATCGGGTTAACAGTCGTTCAATTTGTAAAATCAATCGATATTTATTTTGAAAAAAGGCGCGAGAATTTTAATATATAATTCTTACTAATGTTAATATAATTTTAGTAATATTTTTAGCCAAGCAAAAATAACATCCATAATTTTTTTATTCTTCACGTTTGAATATCAGAGCAAACTAAAAATTCTAGTTTAAGCTTTAGCATTTCTGTTGGCTACTGCTGTAAGCTTATTAAAAAAGCTGATAGATTCAAATATCTTTCAAGCTTGTAATAAGCCAACGGCAAATTGCTTGAATACAGGCTGTTAGTTGATGAATTCTTTTACTCAAATGTTATGCTAACAGCCTGCCGAACCGTATCATTAAAAATCTATTTTTAATCCATAATTTTGTTTGTTTGTCTTTTTATCAGCATGCATATACAAACCATATGCATAGATAAATATATGTTTTCCGTTCTGTGTTGAACACGTAGAAATACCAAAAAAAGAAGAGAATCCACTCAAAAAGTGTTAAGTATTTATTTTGTGTTCTTCGCTGACGTTGATAATTATATACATTCTGTAAATATCATAATATTTGCATAGTTTTTAATTAATTTGTTTACTCCGTATTTTCATTCCTTGGTATTTGTTTACTTGCAGAAAAAGTTGTAAATAAAAAACAAATTATGAATCATTTGCAAATTTCATTTCACGGAGACAAAAAGAGGGAGAGAGAAAGAAATAGAGATAGCGAGAGAGAGGTAGACAGAGGGAGAGAGAGAGAGAGAGAGAGAGAGAGAGAGAGAGAGGTAGATAGAGAGAGAAAGAGAGAGAGAGAGAGAGTAAAAAGGATATGATTAATAATAATAATAGAAATTATGTATGAAGCCTAACGTCATTTAGTGACTCGACATTTATTTCGATCTGCTCAGCTTTTGCCACTATCTTAGTAGATAACCCGTAGAAATGGGGATTACGCCGCTACATTTGATAAACAAACATTAGAGCATGTAAATCAGTTCAATTGCCAGGGCCAAGATAAGCGAGCTGAATTGCAGGCTAATTATGTGTATATAAGACCATTCCAATGCCTGGCCAGATATTAGTCTCTCTGAAACTACTACGACTGAGCCCAACTCAGAACAAAACGAATCGAATCGCCTTAAAATGAAATTCGCAATTGTTTTACTCGTCGCCAGCATCGCTTGCATCAATGCCCAGGTAAATCTATAAAGCTGAGACACCTTTTTGGCATTTTGGCTGATTGTGGAATTTGGTTTTCGTAGGCCTTTGGTCCCTTTGCGGGTGGCAATCCTTTTGCGGCTGCATTTAATCCCTACCTGAATGGAGTTTTTGGTGGCGCTGCGCCCGGAGCGGGTGCCACTGGCGCTGGAGCTCCGGCCGGACCTGCAGCAGTCGCACCACCAGCGGCAGCACCTTTTGGCGGCTTCTCTGTCTCCTCCTTCTTCCAGTCCATAGTGCTGCAAAGGGAGGCAGATCGCCTGCTCAGCCAGCCCAACTTCCCCGCCGACTTGTCCGAGCGCGTCCTCGATGTGCTGGCCAATGCCGAGCTCGCGTTTGCTAACTGCAACACCGCGACGCTGCCCTGGCTGCAGATCCGTTGCGTCAAGCCCGCCCTGACCACCGCCAAGAACGAACTGAAGCTCATCGATGACGAGTGGCAGGCACGTCTGGCTGCCACCACAGTCGCCGCAGCAGCAGCAGGCCCAGTCCAGGTCTAAGACGACTCCATTGGAACCACCCGAACAAAAACAAACATACTTTAAGTGCAATACACCAGCATAGATTCGATATACTTTAAATAAACCTTTTTCAAAGCACCCAAGCTACAAGTTGTGTCCTTGGCCCCTGGCCAGAGTCCGCTTTGATGTGGCCCCGCGCTGCCCCACTGGCGCAAGTGTTTTGCATAGCTGTACTTTATTAAATTCGCTGCGTTACGAAATTCGTCAGAGTTCAATGCGAGCGATTCGAGGGGGATTCGGGTGCAAATATTTTGTTCCTTCTGTGCGTGCCTTTTATTTTATTTTATTTTATTTTTTTTTGCTTTTTGTAGAGCAGAGCTATTCGAGGGGCTAATGTTGCGCAGTTCAGCTCACGACTGTCCTCGAGCTGGCCCAGTAAAAACTTGATGCATTTTGGCCAAATATTTGAATTCCTTCACTTTATTTGCTCGCCTTTGCGGCATTTCTCCACTGTTCCAGCAGCCCCAGTCCCAGTCGCAGTCGCAGTCGCAGTCGCAGCCTTCCGGCTCTTTTTTGCTGTTCGCTTGAGCATTGTGAAAATGGGCAGCTCAATTTTGCCTTGGCACTGTGTCATTCCCTAACAAATGTTGCCACTCAGTGCACGACTGCGAGCGCATACCCAGCCCAAAAGTGGCCCATTGAGTGACTGTCCGGCAAACCAATGTTGATTTATGTGGCCAATGCAGTTGCACTTATCATTGTCGTAGTTATGTCCTCATTCAATAGGGGGCTTTGTTGGGGCGGCTGCTGGAACTGTTGGCATTAAAGGGGATTAAATGGTTTGGCTTAACGAGCCAAAGATTTGCCGCAAATGACCAGAAGCCCTCCCGAAGCCCATGGCAGATTGGGCCAAATGACGCATACGCCTCGTTGGCGCTTTCAAATGCGGTAAAGCACATTCAAATTCAAATTCAAATTCAAATATGTAATTAAATGTAAATTTTGAAACAGCCGTTGGCCAAGTCGAACTCTCACTCCCACTCCCACGCCCACACGCACACACATACAAAACAATGACAAGGCGAATTACAAGGATCAAGGCGAGTGCAAAGTTTTGTCACTTAATTGAAATATTTGCCCCAAGATTGAAACTCGGGTTTTGTTGTTTGTGTCATTACAACAAATATGCCAGTCTGTGTGTGTGTCTGTGTGTGGGTGTGGCTTGGCATGAGCTTTGCTAAGTTTTGTGGTACACCCAGCCACGCCCATTTGCGCTCCCTTCTGCTGGTAATGCAAAAGTTGCGGCATTTCAAGTGCTCAAAGTGGACATAGCAAAAGCAGCCTTGCTGCCAAATGTATGCTGAAATTGGTTAGCAAAACAAGACAAAAAAAGTACAAACAGAAAATAAATAAAAAAACATGACAGCGGGGTGCAGCGGGCGCTGGCTCCATGTATGTAAATTTGTTTTTGGGCTTGCGGATTTGTATGCAAAAGTTGCGCCCCAAAAAGCAGGCAACAGCTTCTTGTTGCTGTTGTTTTTGGTTTTTCTTTTTGCGTGTGGGCGTGGCCAGGACAAGGCTTACGTGCTGTCATTTTAGCCAACATGAAGCTGGCCATTGTGTAGCAGCACTGAATTTTAGTTGCTGTGACTCACATCCGTTTCTATATGTTTATGTGTGTGTTTTTCTCACCTGATAGCAGAGGTGATATCTGTATATATGTATATGCTTATGTACATATGTATTTACATAAGCTTAGCTGTTGAATGCACAAGCAATTAGCTACCTTTTAGCATTTCCGTTGTTAGCTGATAAGCTATTATATTAGAAACAAAAAATCTGAGCGCCTATAAAAACTTAATTGGGTTAAAGCTGTTAACGACGCCTCGTCGCGATGTCGTGCCGTGAGATATATGAGCGCGCCTTTACAAGCGATTTTACAACATTGCTTTTATCTAACTGAATGCGCGGCCAGATAAGATATAACAGATGCTGCTGACACTGAGATTAACAGTTGGCGAGTGAACGCACACAGAGAATGTCGACAGCAACGGTGATTGTGATCACAGTTTGGATGTGCCTGGTAAGAGTTGCATTCGCATCGCTGAACAGGGCTCGGATATATCAAATTTGTCTCCACAGGTGCTGGCCAGGGCCCAGGATGTGTCCGTCGAGCTGACACTGCAGCGGGGCATCGTCGCTGAGAGGACGTTGCGTGCAGCGATCGAGGAGAAGCTGCCGTCCACGGCAGAGGCCCAGCAGGATGGCGCCTACGTCTTGGACACATTTCAGGTGGGCCTGAAGAGCTGCGAGACGCAGCTAAGGGCCAACAAACAGGTCGCCGAGTACAACAACTGCGTGAGCACACTTCAGGGCCTGGCCATGGCCTCCGTGGGCGAGCTGGCCGGCCAGCACTGGGCGAGGTCGGGTGCGTCACGCCCGACGCTGTTCTGGTAGGAGAGTGCCAAAGGCAATTATCTGTCAAGTAATTGAAATCCAGAGCCGGCTGTCACAAATAAATGCTCGATCCAGACGCATGGCTGTAGTCCTCACTGGTTGGGTGCAGCGCCAACTGCGAACTGCAGCTGATGCACTTTGGGCACTTCTTGGTCTGCCTCAGCCACGTACATATGTCTGAGATGAGAGTCGTCAGCAGCAGAGAATCAGCACTTGGTGGCGCAATCTGATGAACTTTTGGCCAAATTGCTGACGGGCAAAAATTTAGCTTTGCTTCTTGCTTTGTTGTATTCTAATTAGACTCTCGAGTGGGTGTGCAGGCGACTGCCATGACACTGTCTCTGTGTGCGTGTGCGTGTGTGTACATGCTCATTAGACCAAATGTGCGGGATGTGCCAGGGGGGGCGGGGCCGTGTGGCGAATATAACTGAGTAATTATCATCATTAAACGAAAGACGCAGCAGTCAGAGCAAATAGCGACATTAACGTCGCTCAAATCTGGGCCAAGGCAGATGAAACAAACGGGAGCTGACGGAGTGGGAATCAAGAGTTCAGCTCGTATGCTGAGTCGATGTACGCGTGACGTAATTTTCTTGGCATTGACAAGATTCCCGAGCTTGGAACGTACTCAACTTTAGCTTACAAATATATAGATAATTATTTTCTAATCCAATTTAACTTTCAGCTGATGTTCTTAATGGTGTTAAAAAGGTAATTTTTCGAGTACCGAAATCTTTAAAGCTTCGTAAAAAAAGACAGCAATACTTTGTAGTTTTATAGCAGTACAAACCTTTAAATTATACGGCAAATTTATATGAGAATGCTTAAATATTTAAATTTTTGCCCTATGTACATCAGGAATAAGGAATCAGGATAGGATTGTGTAGGATAGTATTACATATATTGGAAAAAGAATTTTTTCAATCGGTCCAGTTTTTCTTAAGCTTATTTAATGCAGAGAAGCTATCAATCTCTCTCTTCTTATCAAAGAGAGCCTCTATTGTTTATCTATAACAAAAAAGTATTGAAAATATGCAATGATCTAGTAAGCCAACCACAAAGAGAAGTAATGCTACATTTAAATAGTTTACGATCTCGTCGATAAGCTACACCAGAATTAGTTTTAATAACATTAGTATTATCTTTTTCTTTTTTTTTACATTTGTTGCCTTTTGTAGGCATTTGCAGAAAATTTTAGAATTTTTGATATACACATTTTTAGGCCTTTGATTCCGCCTCTGATGTGGTTTCTGTATCCCCAGCGGGAGCATCGGGCTTGGGCTCATCAGTATTGCCGCAAACACAGAAGGGGCACTACGTAAAACGAAAATAGAATAATAACAATATAAGATAAGATACGCGATAAGATAGGTAGATAAGATATACCTTCTCTTTGAGCACCAGTCGATACTTGGGATGACTTATATAAATAAATAAATATATTAGAGACTCTTTCTCTCTCAAGTGCAGCGCCCTGCCTTACCTTATGCCGTACACAATGGGATTGTAGACGGCGCTGGTTTTGGCAAATGTGGCGCCCCAAATGGTGGTGAGTGGCGTCAGCCCCTCGATCTTGAAGAGGCCAAAGTAACAGATGACCAGGTACGGGGTCCAGGCCATAAACCACAGCGAAATTGTCGTCAATGCCACCTGAGTGGGTAGTGAAATGTGAAACGGTCTCAAATGAATTACTTCAGCCTCACCTTGGCCAGTTTGCCCTCGGCGCTCTTGTCGCAATCCTCCGAGCTGCGCAACGACTTGACGTTCATCTTCTTGGCCTGCTCCCGCATGGCTTTCTCGTGTGCTGCCACGGCCTGCAAATTGGACGGTTGATGGGGAGGTGGAGAAACGTCTTCTCATTCGCACACTTACCGCAATTATAAACCAGTACGAATAACAGATGAGAAACAACGGCACATAGTAGACGAATATCGAATATGTGATGAGATAGGAGCGTGGATTCCATTGCCTGGTCATGTAGTCAATGCTGCAGGCTGTCAAATTCCCCTCCGGCACATAGCTGCTCCAGCCGATTAGCGGCATTATGGTCCAGAACGTGGCCATCAGCCAAATAAACAGAATCTTCATGATGGACAGCTTGATTGTCATGGGCGTTCCATTGATGCCCTTCACAATGACGTTGTAGCGATCGAAGGCGATCATGCACATGGACCAAATCGAAACACAGCCAAACATGGAGCCACAGACCGCATAAATATCGCACCACAGCGGACCCAAGACCCATGTCTCGTAGTAGAAATTGACCAACATGACGGGCGACTGTGAGGCCATCATACAAAAGTCCGAAAAGGCCAAATTCAAGACGAGCAGATTGGCGGGCGTGCGCAGCGATTTGGTGCCGCCGAAGATGTAGACAACAACTCCGTTGCCGCAGCACGAGATGATCATGATGGCCAGCGTGAACAGGCCCAGAATCTTGCTCATTGTGGCATCCATTGGCGCAAAGCGGCTCCAGTATGGATTGACCAGGTGCGCCATATCCGGCAGCACCTGCGAAGCGGAATTTAAATTTAGTCTGAGCTGATAATTAAGGATGCTATGCTTGAACTGCTTTATGAAAATATAATAACTATTTATACTATCGATTAAATTATCATATATTAGAGGGCGTGGCCATAGCTGCATGTGCGTGAAATTTTTTGTATACATAAAAATATGAAATACATAATAATTAAATAATAAATAAATATTTGTATATTATCATTTAATTGAATCAGATCAGCCTCAGAGATTCCCTGACTAAAAATATATGCCAAAGTGCTGAATAATAATATACAAATGATATGAGACTGCATGACAGAAGCTGAATGATATAACACTCGATGGATGGCATATCTATGAAACTTGTGGTAACATAATGGTAACATTGATCATACTTGCTCGCTAAATAGAAGGTGTATCCTTTGAATGACTATGAAAATGTGTTATAAAAATGAAATTTGAGTTAAGGCAGATGCATGACAAAAGCTGAATGCTATGAAACTCTATAGAAGGTGCATTACTAAAAATTATGGAAATATTGATCATAATTTGCCCGTTTAAGAAAAAAGCATAGGCCCATGTATGCCTCTTAAACTGTGAGTATAACAAAAACAAAACTTGAAACTCGGTCTGGGCAACTGCATGACAAAAGCTGAATGTTACAAAACTCGATGTAAGGTACGTCAATGTCACTAACCACAGAAAGCTTGTGAAGCCTGTGGAAAAATGGATACTCATCGCTTACTAAATAGAAAACATAATCATTAGATTCATAGACATGTAAATTTTCTGAGTTTAGGTCTTTTGGCAGATGCTAAATGCAAGGAGACTGCATGACAGAAGCTGAATGATATGACACTCGGCGGTTAGTATATTGGTACAAAATTAAAGTGTTTCATTTAATTATATATATAAACATAGTACTTACATTATCCAAAACGGAGCCATTGCCACTCGCCTGGGCTTCGAATCTGGGCCCAAGTCCACTGGCAGACCAGGCAGCGTCCAATGTCTGCGGCAACAAGCTGCGTTCCATGCTCAGCAGCTGCTCAGCGATGAGCGATGGGGTCAGCACACATCAAGGTAGTCCGGACTAGCAGTGCGGTCTTTCCACCGACAGCGGCTTTTATATAGTCTGCGCTCTGAGCCAATTAGCCATGGATCGATGGCATATGCATAAATTGAAATAGCTGTCGTATCAAAGTCACTTTTATGTTTATTTCATAATCAACAATTGGCCGCTGTGAATAAGCTTGGTCTCGTCTTCTTAGGATAGCAAAATGGTCAATAGTCCATTCGAGGCTCGCGCTCAGAGCTGAGCCAAGAACTTCTGGCCACACTTGTGGCATAGTTTCTTTTTATTCGACTGGGGCGTACCTACGGAACAAACTGAGCACGGTGATACAGAATTTTTCGAGCTGCTCTTGTGACATGGGGCGACCAGGGAATAGGGAGAATCGGGACCTTCAGTGGAGTCTCCATGAGACATATTTTTCACCTGATACGCGTTCTCCTCATCATCATCATCCGTACTGGGTACATTGTAGCGCACAATGCTAACCTGTTCGCCCAGTATGAGCTCCTTGCAGCAGTCCTTGATTTGATAATACGCATTTCTGAAGGCTTTAAGTTTGCGTGCCTGCAACATAGTTGTGTTCGCATCATAAAATCAAACTGTAAATGGGAACCACTCAGTGGAACATACCGGCGACAGATCAATAATGGTTGGGCTCTTGCCATTCTTCCCGTACGCGCCGAGCATTATGACATGTGAGGTGTCGAGAATCCGGTTGGCATCCGCCCACAGCAGCAGCTCCTTGAATATATGCTCATTCATGGCAATGATGTAGTCAAAGTAATAAAAGTCCTGCACAGTTAGCTGCCAGAGAGAGGAAAGCAAATAGAAAACCGTTTAGCCTATCAATGATTTCCTTTCGTGTCCATTCCATGTGCATTACCAGCCGACAGAAGTGATCGGAGCGCAGTCCGTGCTCTCGGAGGACTTTGAGGCACAGCTTGTGTGGTCGCCTGCCAATGTTCCAGGTGCGCAGCGCTGCGCTGTCCACCTCCCAGTATAGGCTTGTCTTCACCATCAGAGTCTGCATAATTGTCTCGGCCATCGGCGAGCTGCACGAGTTGCCTGCACCAGAGACGGATGGATTAATAAATGGATTGCAGCGGAAGCTCAGCTGCTCGGAGACTTACCCATGCAAACGAAAAGTAGTTTCTTAAATGTCATTTTGTGTGCTTTGAGTTGGTACTGAGAATTTGGGTTGTGGTTTAAAAAAAAGTAAACTTTTCACTTTATAATATAAATTCTATGTCTGATCTAAATTGTGTTTGGTTTCACCTCGAACTTCGATTCTGTTGCTTCAAGAGAGAGCCAGAGCCTGCTGAGTCGAAATTGGTTTCGGGGCTCATTAGCAAGTCGTTGCCGTTGTCAGCAATTTCAAATTAACACAAATGAGCCGTGTCGCTGCTAATGTACGACAAGACACGAACCGCGACCACAAACATGACCCGCCTCATGAACTTTGCCCCCAGACATTAGTCTCGCTCCAATTTGGCGCAGTCTATTTTCTATGATTCGCATTGTGGCATCTGAAATGCGACTGCCACAAGTTCGCATTGCATTGTGGGTGTGTGTGCGAGAGAGTGAGTGTGTGTGTGAGTGTGAGTGTGTGACTGCATTTCTGTGCCTGTTGCTGCCGTTCGAACTGGTTGTCCTTTGTGCCATGCTCAACTCTAACTTGTCGCACAGTGGGACGAGTCTCTAAATACTTAAGAAACAGTCGGCAAACTATGAACTGTTAACTTGGCCGAAAAAAACTCAGCTCGTATAAGTATAAATCATATTATATCAAGAAAATCAATTTAAGTTTACTCAACGATAATCGAATGTAAACATGTTTGGGCACAGTGTGCAAAGTGGCGATTTCGCTGGGAGTCGCCTTCTCTGTTGACTTGGCAAATGTTTGCTTTACACCCACTTGCCACCTCATTCGTGTTGCACTCGCTGTCGAGTCAAAGGGATTAAAAATATTTGGCTGGCAGGTGGGGCGGCGGCGGCGGCGCCGTTACACAAAGAGTGTCAAGTGCTCGTGAGGTGTCCGCGAGCATTCTAAATTGGCTTGCAGGGTTGGGGCCGTGGGCGTGGCCGACAGCAGGGCAAAGAACCGGCGAGTTCAGCGAACTGGACCGATGCCATGGCCCACATAGGCAAATGCAAACGCAGATGCAATGCATCGCCGCATTCACTTTTCACTGCCCTCCGCTTCCCCTTCCCAGGGAGTGCACATACCACTATGATAGACTATGCCAGGCATTAACTTTTGCTTGAATGCTGGCTGCATATTTCTATGCATACAAATCTCGCAAAGGACTTTGGTTTTCTTCCACCTTAATACCCTGAACACATTGAACACGGGGTATCATGTTTTTGTGAAAACACATAGATATATAGATACATAGACACATAAGTAAATAGGTACATAGATACAGAGATACATAGACACATAGATATATAGATATATAGATACATAGATATATAGATACATAGATACATAGATATATAGATACATAGATACATAGATACATAGATACATAGATACATAGATACATAGATACATAGATA